AAGTTCCAGCTAATTATTGCCAAAGAGTTATACATTAAACGCGGTAGTCGGCCCCGGAACCTCGCCACGTGTCCTAATCCCGCTCACGCTCTGACCCCATAACTTTGCAACTTGGCGCAGCTGCACGGCAGAGTAGAAGGACAACCTGACAACCGGACAACCGGACGGTCGAAGAGCAGGACAACCGGACAACCGGACACCCCGGCAAAGCCAACCGAAACGTGTCCGGACTGGGATCGAATCGGGCGAGGGCCGTTCAATAGACTGGAGCTCGGGCGATGACAATGGCAGGAAGATCCGGAGCTTCGATGGGCGACACGTGCGAAGTGGAATAATGCGAGGCAAGGCATTTATTGTTGAGCCGCAGAAACTTGAAAAACTATAAAGCCAAAACGAGCTTCTTGTCCCGGCGCGGGGATTTATTTATGGTGAAGTGCGGTGTCAGCGGCAGACAGCCACAGATTCCACCTTGGTCTTTGTGTGGGGTCTGCCAGGCATAAATATACAATCCACCTACGTCCTCTCCAAATTCGATCCGCTCCAAACAATAACAGTCGGGACAAAGAATAGACAGCCAGATAAGGGGAGCGGCAGCTGAAAAGTTTCATAGCCAAATGAAGATTGGCATAGCGAGATATGCACGTGATGGGAATGGAATGCCGAAAATTATATCGAGCTCCTGCGGCGTGCGAAATCTTTCCAAAACAATATATGTCATGCACATGCCCGAGTAGAACCCGTGCGGAAGTGGCACTGCCAGCCAGTAAATGGCCAATGAATCGACTGAGCTCCGGTGGCAGTGGGATCGGAAAATAAAATGCACATTAGCCGGCCAGAGGCGCACAACTGCCAGAAGCAGTATTGGCGAAAAGGCAGCACAAATAGCTGCACAGTGGGCAATGTGTTTAGCCGAGCATTCATTTCATTGGAATGGCCCACGGAAGCTTAAACGAAAAGAATCGTCGAATATAGGAACAATCTATCCAAATTTCCATAACTTGGTTTTTTTCTAATATTACCGCGAAAAGGACTTTAAAATCGAATAGTAAAACTTCTAAACCAAATAAACATAATTTAGCAGGGATAATAAAAGTTTTGAAAGTCTTTAAAAATAAAAGACATTACATATTTATAATAATACTTTAAAAACAGAAATCAATAAATTTAAATACATGATTTATATTATTTGTGATGTAATGTGCTAATATAATTCCATCGGCCCCATGTTACTTTTGACACGGCTTTACAATTGAGTAGTTTTTTTCACTGCGATTGGTTTTCATACTAAACCATCGTCCTCTGAACAACTCGCTTTTTCCTTTATTACTGTGTTATCAAAATTCGATTTCACTTTATGTTGAGCCATACGCTTCTAAAAAATGTAGTTTTATAATAGTTTTTTTAGCTTTCAGTTTTTGAACCGAAATAGATAAAAAATAGAGTAATATGTGTTTTAGTTTTTCAAAAGCCCTACAAAATTAAATTGTCATCAAAGTCATTGACATTTTATAGGCTTAAATAAAAAACAAAAGTGTGACTTATTTTCACTTAAACTCTTTAATGGTTCCATTTTAACTTTTTCACTTTGGTCATAGGACGATATATCATTATTACTTATCGAGAGATTGCAAAATCCTTGGCATAATTGAGGTCAATAAATATGAGTAGGCTTTAAAACCAATTAGAGTTCTAGACTTTCAAAAATGCTACTTCCATGCCGCTACCTATAAGCATTGCCCACTGTGGGGCGGAAGGTATAAAATCGCTTCGTCGACCAGGACGCAAGAACAACAGGCCAACGTGTGCGGGTGTTTTTCTGGCGCACTTCGAAAGAAAAGCGCAAATCGAAAAAAATAAATAAAATCAAATGTTCTGCGCACGAGAAGGAAAGTTTCCAAGCTATGCGAACGGCAGGGTCAGCGCCTGAAATTACATCTTACGAGCGTCGGGAGGCCACGCTCGGGGAGCGTATACGTAACGTAACGTAACGGAAACGGAAACAGAGCGATAAAGTTCTGTTAGTGGAGCGGGCACCCGCGGGAGCATAAGAGTGCGAAAGTGCGAGCCCTGGATGGTCTGGAGCTGCCGGCGAGGGCTGAAGGCTTGCCAAAGACAAAAGCCCGGCACTGTCAGTCGGAAGCAGCGTGTAAATGTCGGCCAACACTTGGCTGCGCTTCCTGGAGAGCAAGAACCAATGAAACAGAAATCAGGCTCAACAGATTGCTGATACACCGAGTCGGGCGACCCTCGGTCCGACTTATGCAATTTCGAGCTCACTGCGACCTTGACTAAGCGCTGTAATGCGATTTGCTTTAATTTCCTACCCGCAAGCGATAACTGATTGCTCCAAAGCCCCGCTGTGTGCGCAGGGCGGGGCAGTAAATCCAATAAGAAATCAATGGCTAACAAGCAAAAAACAAACCGAAACAAGTTTCGCCATGGTGGAAAATCTTAATTTTCCACAAACCCACGAAACGTGACACATTCGATGGGCGCTGTGGCTGTGGACGTTGCTAACTCTAGTCAACTTTTTTTAGCACACCCACACAAGCAGATCTTGTGTTCGTGTCAGTGGCTCATTTGCTGCCCGTTTGTCTACTTTATTTGTAGTTGATTCCGAAGCCTTAAAACCAATTTCTACGTTTATTTTTGTCACAAGCAACTTGGCTAACTCAATAGACCTAAGTTCCACTCGGCCTCACCCTTGAAATTAATGACCTGGAGAGGGTATGTGTAGCCTTACAATGGCCATTAATAATTTAAACTATATAAGAGTAAGTATGTCATTGGTACACGTTCCCAGCACTAACTACTTTAGGACTGAGTTTCAATTAAAGTCAAAAACCGGTATTTCGAGAATTATGTAGGTTTTGCTAATGCCCATGTTCACCCATGCTAATTAGTTCTGGCATCTGACTCTCGTTCTCCTAAAAATACATTTCCCATCCAGCAGCTGGCGGAAGTGTCCTTGGAGAGCCACACATCCGTCCTGCTCTGAGACTGGATACATGTCCTGAGCGAAGTCTGCCAGCCACAGGCCTCAAAATGTCATTTTGGCTAAATACACCTTTTGTCGTTTTATTTATGGCCAGTCACCTCCCCACACACCCAATTTGCATGTGTTTCGCTTTTGCGGCCACCCGGGTTCTTCTGCCCCCAATATATGGAAATGTCGAAGTGATTTGTTTAAACAAACGTCCAGCTCGTGTGCGGTCCCATTTCTTCTCATTTCGATTCGTTTGCTTGTCTCTACAGCTGTCAGGTTCCATCTTGGTCGAACCTGAACCTGAAACTGAAGCTGAAGCTGGATTGGACCCTGAACAGGCGCACTTCTTCAGCTTTTAATGCCCGTGTGCGGCGCTCCCTTTGTGACTTTCTGTTTGGGCGGGTGTGTTTGTCGGCCACTTGTCATGTCACTCGGCATCATTGTCGACCCAGACAATGGCAGTCCGACCAATCTGTTCTGGCACCTCACCTCAGTTAACTTCTCAGGAGCTTCTCCCAAAGGGTAAGCCACTCCTTGGGGCTGGCATTTCATTTACATTTCAATGTCAACTGGTTTCGGCACCGTCCACGTCCATCCACGTCCATCCACACCTACACCCCCCACCCCTCCACACGTCCAAACTTCCAAATGTACCTCCCTTCGAAGGACCGCTGACAATCGTAATTTACCGTTACAAATCAATTGCCAACTTATGGCCGTGACGAGTCCTTTGTCGCCGTTGTCGGCGGACTGACGGTCGCTGTGAATCCTACATTATGCTGACATATTTTACGCCCAATTTATGTTAATTTGGTTGTACTCCTCCCGTTGTTCTGTGGCCATAAAACGAAGGGAGAAAATCAAAAATAGGACCCAAAGTGCCAGTGCTCGTCGGCAACCAGTCAGCGCGCATATTTTTATGGCCAGGCCTCGGTATTTATGCCCGCCTTTTTCCACATTGACCACGAATCGTTTAGCTATCTGCTGTATATGGATGTGTTTCGATGTTGATGTGTTGGTGCGTGTACGTGGTGTGGCAAACTTGTCGGGTTCACAAGTTCACAAGGAGGAGGGACATTTGAGGAGGGGACATTTTCCTGTGTGTGTGCGGGAACGGGTGGCAGGATACGTTTCTGTAAGCTAACATTTTGACAGCGTCGGCTTTAAGTTGTCAGCGCATTCTTCGGCTTTGCGCTGCTGCTGCTGCTGGTGTTGGCCATTGTGCTTATTAACATATTGCCTGGTTGCTGTTTCCCTCATGTCGCGCCATTGACAATTCATTTGTGTTATCACACACACGCACAGAAGGGGCTTAATGGCACAACGCGAAACAGGAAAACTGTCAAAACGGCTGCCAAGTATTTGCAGAGATTTCAGATGCTGATAGCAAGTGACAGACAACAACAGCGAAGGAGGAGAACAACGCGGGACCTTAGCTAAATCATTTAAAAACCATTTTCCCTGGTACCTGGCAATACGGATACGGCGAGGCACAATCCTGGCACAATCCTCAGTCACGTATACCAATCTGAACGCCGCTCTAAGTTATTGCGAATCTCTAATTTCCATCAGGTGCTATATGCATTCCGTAATGCACACGACCGTTCTTCGGAAGGGATGGGGAGGTGCTGGTGTGTTTCATATCCCCATGCTTAAGACCAAATTGCCTGGCACTTAGGCCAGGGCACTGAAAGCATGCTTTACTGCAAAGACGCCGACTCCAATGGCATTACTTCCCCCATCGCCTCATGTGGCGGCTCGTTATTATTAGCATAATTACAGGCGCATTAGCGTGCCTGGTTTCAGGTGCTTGGCAATTTGCCTGCTGCCAGGACGCCTGATTATGACAGGGCCTAAAAGCACGCCGCTTGCCACAATGCACCTCCTGCAGCGCCGCTTAAAGTGGGGCGAGTTTCTTAAAGGATTCCCACACTTTATGCAAATTCCTCCCCGGCATTCTTTTCGCTCGCCTTCATTAACACTGCTTTAATTAGTTTTTTATTTCATTTTGCAGCTTTCGCTTGATGTTTATGCAGCGTCCTTCGACATTAAGCGCCAATCGGATTCAGTGAGCCAAAGGTCTCGACCTCCCGTCAGCAAAAGGGAGAGAAAAACAATTTTAAGATTAGTCCGGGGCTGAAGCAAAAAACGCCCGCTCCGCGCCAGGACTCCACGAATACACAATGCGTCTACCGCGCACCTCCCCAGCGCTCTGGTCCTTGGCCTGGCTCGCCTTGGCCACCACCGGCACTCTGGCCTACCCAAACAGTCAGCCGCACCAGCCGCTGGTCACCTATGTGACCACCTCGACGACATCCAGCCAGCGGAGCCAGTCCTCCAACCGGCAGCTGCAGCCGGCTTTCGTCTACGACTCACCTCCTCCGGAAGCGGAGGAGGGTTCAAACCACCCTCTGAGCACATCCACATCCACATCTAATGCCGGGAACGGGGAAACTGAGCCGTCAAAGAAAGTCATCGGTTCCAGGTGAGTTCACACACACTGGTTTTGTACCGGTACAGACTTACGCTTTTTGCGGCTTACTGCCTGAATTAAGGAATCCGCACTGGAAAAAAATTAGTAAATCACGGATTAAAGGCCACATAAATAGTTTTATGTTTTGAATAAAATGGTGGATGTGAAAATGGCATATTATATATGTTTGATTTCACTTTAATTTGTCAATCGGCATAATTTAACAATTTTAATTACGTTTAAAGGTTTAAATGACAAGAGTTCGATTTGCTTTGAGAAATCAAAAACATGTGTTATCAACAATATCCCTAATAATATCAGATTCAGCTAGATCATTTTGTTTTTAATCTCCAATTCTTACTTTCTGTGTAGAAGGAGGGGGTCTTTGTTTTCCTCGTCCATTTTTAGTTGCCCTTTGTTTGCTGTTTCTATCGCCGTTCCTGTTGCTGGGGAAAATCTTTTGTTTGCACAGCTTTTTGCAATTTTTGCCACTAATTGAAATAGAATTTCCTGCTTTGTTGTAGCCGCTGTTTCGAGGAGCGTGGGCTGGTCAGGCTGGGCACTCGCCTTAGTATTTTTAATTAATTTGCTCTGCGGCCGCAAAGCGTGCTGGAGTGGGCAGGAAAGCGTTGCATACTTTGTGGCACGCGTTCGGAATCCCATTGGGCTAGACTGGAACGGGTGGTAGGTAGGCGAAGGTGGGCTGTAAACAAGGGTCAGGGCCAGACACCAGCGACTCAATTGAGTGCTCATTAACTTCAAATCAATGCTAATCAATTGAGTTTAAGTGGGCGCGATGCTTTTGAGGAGGACCCAAACCGTTTATCCCTAATCCATACAGGAAGGAAGAGCACAACCAGAATGAGAGCAACACCGACATCAAGGGCCTGCATATTTTTCGTTATTTTTCCCAGCTGAATAAAGACATCTGTTTGAAAAGGTTCCGGCACAATTTCATATTAATTCCGCGCATAAACAAATTCACAGCCAGCGGCATCTTGCGTCAGCTGCTGGTGTTCCTCTCACACCGCCCACCGTTGGTAATGACTGCGAGCTGTTGCCTCTGATGGTGATAACGATGATAACGATGATAACGACGAAAACGATGATAACGATGATAACGACCGTGATGATTCGCCGGTCCATGATGGCAACTGCAGTCAGGCGCATCTGCAATATTTACATGCATTTTTGATTGTGCTGCATTGCCCTCTGGATTCCAATTAAAACCAATCTGTGATTCCGACATTCTTTGGGTCTTTTGCGATAAAACGTCACTTGGACGGCAACGTTTACCTAAAAATTAAATTGGAAATAAGTCAATAAAACATTTATTTTCGCCTCAAAGCCCAAATCAGACTAAGCTGCAAAACGACGAGAGCCGGTTGGAAACTCACACAAATTATACGGAATATTTTCATCCTAATCCCATTGCAACACAATTCTGCACTTAATTTTCGCATGAGAGGACTCGCCCCCTCCGTGCTGATGATTTTGCCGATGCAACAGACCCACTCTATGACATGTGGCGTATGGATATATGTCCATACATAGTATGTGTGAGGCAGCTGTATATGACTAAGCACGCTCCAACTCACGTGCTTAAATGTTAATGATGTGCTCATGCCACACGCGGAATTACTTGCATACTTATATCGCACAGACACGACGCACAGACCGACGCCAACTAACATATGTAAACCGTGGTGTGTGCCCAGATACTCCTGCTAAGCGCTGCACAAATGCAGATAGAGGATATGGATGCAACTGCGTGAGATGGGCGGGTGGGTGTATGGGGAGGATGACTGCGTGACTTTCTGCGACCATTTTATAGTTCTCAATTTCCATTAAAGTGCCAACGATGCGCCGCCGAGTATGCAAGATGACTTGCGTCGTCCGAGGGACAAATGATACTTCGCCAATACGACTTTATAAAAATCAAATGTCATGAATGTCAAGTCGTCCAAAGTCGGTGAACAGACACATACAAAATTTATCAGCAATCATTATGGGACATTAACTTGGAAAAACAAAATAGTTTCAACCAAGGGCATTAATCAAACATAATATAAAGAATATAAAAAGAAACATGCGGCAAAGATAAAATTAAAATTTTTAAACATTTTTCGATGAAAATCATTTGCTGCATAATAGTTTTGTTGATCCAAAATATAAAAAAAATCGATTATCATTAAAGATTTGTATTTTGTGCTCAAATAAAGAAGACGTAAAGATCTGTGTCAAATTTTTTACCAATATTGTTTCACATTCTTTTAAAGGAAAAACTTCTTATTTTTCAATAAGGAACCCGATCTTACGTACAGTTTTAATAGAAATAGGGTTGGAAAAACTATTAGTGAATAACAATAAAAAATGCAATAATCATAAATGTTGAGCTTTACTTTTTTTTATTAAAAATAATGATTATGCAGTTTTATTAAATTACTACAAAAACAAGAAAGGAAAGCTAACTTCGGGCGGAGCCGAAGTTGAAATACCCTTGCAGAATATTCTGCAAATTATATTCTCCAAAATTATTCATATGATGCGTTCTTAATACTCATAAAAAATCCCAACTTCCTAACTTTAAAAACACCAAAGTTATGGCATTTCCAATCGTTCAGTTATGTATATGGCAGCTATAGAATATAGTCGGCCGATCCTTATGAAATTTGATATGTCGGATTGATTGGGCAAAAATAAAATCCATAGAAGATCCCAACTTCCTAACTTAACAAACACTGAAGTTATGGCATTTCCGATCAATCAGTTATATGGCAGCTATAGGATATAGTCGGCCGATCCCGGCCGTTCCGACTTATATACTGCGTGCAAAGGAAATAAGGGTGTGTGCAAAGTTTCAATTCGATATCTTTAAAACTGAGAGACTAGTTCGCGTAGAAACAGACAGACGGACAGACAGACGGACAGACGGACAGACGGACGGACGGACAGACGGACAGACGGACAGACGGACAGACGGACAGACGGACATGGCTATATCAACTCAGGAGGTGATCCTGATCAAGAATATATATACTTTATAGGGTCGGAGATGTCTCCTTCATTGCGTTGCACACTTTTGACCAAAATTATAATACCCTCTGCAAGGGTATAATAATACTTTTCATTGAAGAATAAGAAAAAAACAAGAAAGGAAAGCTAACTTCGGACGGAGCCGAAGTTGATATACCCTTGCAGAATATTCTGTAAATTATATTCTTCAAAATTATTCATATGATGTATTCTTAATACTCATAAAAAGTCCCAACTTCCTAACTTTAAAAACACCAAAGTTATGGCATTTCCAATCGTTCAGTTATATGGCAGCTATAGGATATAGTCGGCGGATCCTTATGAAATTTGGTAGGTCGGATTAATTGGCCAAAAAGAAAAACTCAAAGAAAATCCCAACTTCCTAACTTTAAAAACACCAACGTTATGGCTTTTCCGATCGTTCAGTTATATGGCAGCTATATGATATAGTCGCCCGATCCCGCTCGTTCCGACTTATATACTACCTGCAATAGAAAGACAACATTTGGGAAAGTTTCAAGCAGATAGCTTTAAAACTGAGGGACTAGTTTGCGTAGAAACGGACGGACGGACGGACAGACATACGGACAGACGGACGGACAGACGGACATGGCTAGATCGACTCTCCTGGTGATGCTGATCAAGAATATATATACTTTATAGGGTCGGAAATGTCTCCTTCACTGCGTTGCAAACTTTTGACTGAAATTATAATACCCTCTGCAAGGGTATAATAAACAAGAAAGGAAAGCTAACTTCGGGCGGAGCCGAAGTTGATATACCCTTGCAGAATACTCTGTAAATTATATTCTCCAAAATTATTCATATGATGCATTCTTAATACTCATAAAAAATCCGAACTTCCTAACTTTAACAACAACAAAGTTATGGCATTTCCAATCGTTCAGTTATATGGCAGCTATAGGATATAGTCGCCCGATCCTTATGAAATTTGGTAGGTCGGATTGATTGGCCAAAAATAAAATCCATAGAAAATCCCAACTTCCTAACTTTACAAACACCAAAGTTATGGCATTTCCGATCAATCAGTTATATGGCAGCTATATGATATAGTCGGCCGATCCTTATGAAATTTGGTAGGTCGGATTGATTGGCCAAAAATAAAATCCATAGAAAATCCCAATTTTCTAACTTTACAAACACCAAAGTTATGGCATTTCCGATCAATCAGTTATATGGCAGCTATAGGATATAGTCGGCCGATCCTTATGAAATTTGGTAGGTCGGATTGATTGGCCAAAATATAAAACCCATAGAAAATCCCAACTTTCTAACTTTACAAACACCAAAGTTATGGCATTTCCGATCAATCAGTTATATGGCAGCTATAGGATATAGTCGGCCGATCCTTATGAAATTTGGTAGGTCGGATTGATTGGCCAAATATAAAACCCATAGAAAATCCCAACTTCCTAACTTTACAAACACGAAAGTTATGGCATTTCCGATCAATCAGTTATATGGCAGCTATAGGATATAGTCGGCCGATCCCGGCCGTTCCGACTTATATACTGCGTGCAAAGGAAAGAAGGGTGTGTGCAAAGTTTCAATCCGATAGCTTTAAAACTGAGAGACTAGTTTGCGTAGAAACAGACAGACGGACAGACGGACAGACGGACATGGCTATATCAACTCAGGAGGTGATCCTGATCAAGAATATATATACTTTATAGGGTCGGAGATGTCTCCTTCACTGCGTTGCACACTTTTGACCAAAATTATAATACCCTCTGCAAGGGTATAAAAATTTAAAATTCATGGGGGGAATGTATAGACTAAATGATTTTGGGTTAAATAAATCATTTCTAGGTACATTATAAGTGACTGATTTTTTTTAAGTCAAAAAATAATCATTTTTTACGGTTCCTGATTTTAACCAGTCGATCTAAACGTAAGAGCAGCGAGCCAGAAATTGGGATCGGATGTGTAAGCTCCTTGAATTCCTGAACAAGTATAGTTTGCCCCCCTTTTTTACCCGGAATTTTCTATATTCTGTGACAACCAACATTTTTAATGTTAGAAATATGTTACACTACATTTTGTTTGAATGTTTGTATCAAAATTCAAACATTAATAAATATGTCTTTTAGATGCAGTACTTTTGTCCTATTAAAATCATCCATCATCATCATCGAATGCACCATATAGCAGTTTAATTGGTTATCAAAATTGGTTTAGTTACTTTTGTATGTTGTAATGGAGGAAATCTGCTGGACAAAGGTTCACTCGAAGCCTATTTTAAACAAGAAAGGAAGCAAACTTTGGCAAGCAGAAGTTTATACACCCTTGCAGTTATTACAAATCGACTAGATTTCGATTTTAATGCCTCTTTTACTAAAAACAATGAAGCTATGCCGATTTTGCGCTGCATTTTGGCATCGTTTCTATGGCAGCTATATGATATTGTTGACCGATTTTAATTTAATTAAATTCAAAATTCCATAATATTTAAATACTACGAAATCCCAAAAAAACAAAATTAAAATCAACAAAGGTATACGTTTTTTGAATTGTTTTTCCGATTGTTCCTATGGGAGCTATATGATATAGTTGCCCGAACCGGATCGGTTCGGACGGACAGACGGACATGGCTAGATCGACTCTCCTGCCCATGCTGATCAAGAATATATATACTTTGTAGGGTCGGAAATGTCTCCTTCACTGCGTTGCAAACTTTTGACTGAAATTATAATACCCTCTGCAAGGGTAAAATAAGCCCTATATGATTTCGCCCTTACTAATTAAACCATTTACAAATATTCCCTCTCTGCAGTGCGACCCCATCAGTTTCAGTGGTTCTCGATGGCAACGAACCGCAGTTTACGGATGCCCTCGGCCACAAGGTGCCCAAGCCACAGCCGTCGTTGCAAGTGGCAAGCCCCATCGTCCTCCTTAACCCAGACCGCTACGAGTTCTACACGTTCGACGAGCACGGCGAGCTGGTCAAGCGGCTGATGACCATGCAGGAGATTCAGAGCATCGTGGCCAACGGCGACGGCGAGGGACCGTCCATCATCCACCCCGCCCCGGTGGCTGAGAGCAGTCCCGACAAGAATGTGCAGGACATCGTGGACAGCGTGCAAAACGTACTTAACAAGGAGGTGGCCTCCACCTCGGCAAAGAACAGCTCCGGGGAGCTGCTCCCTCCCCTTCTGGATACGCCCGACGTCTCTTCCTCCTGGTCGCTCATTCTGCCCGCCATTTTCGGCAACACGGGGGGCGACATTTTCCCACAGCAGCGCCCGCAGCAGATTGTGATGACTCCCGAGTCGGAGCTCCTGGAGACGTCGACCAGCGCGGCGCCAACGACCACCCGTGCCACAAAGAAACCCAAGCCCGCTAAGCGTAGGCCGGGCACAAAACGCAAACCTTCCACCTCTACCAGCACCACTCAAGTGACACCGCAGGTCGTGCAGGAGGAGCTGGATCCCATGGAGTCGGTGTACACGGGAATGCAGCAATACCAGCAGGTGGCCGCCAATATGCCCGAGTTTGAGCTCCTCCACATGCAGCCGATCTACCAGAAGCAGCCGAGCACCACAGGTCGGCCGGAAACAACCACGCGGCGCGTGTTCTACAACAACCAGGAAATTATTCACACGCCCACCTCCTCGAGTAGTGCCCCCTCTACCACCGAAATTGTCTTCAGCCACCAGCTGGCCAAAAAGCCGGCCAGTGTGCAGCGCAAGCCGACTCAGCCTCATCGAGTTAAGAAGCCTAACGGTGCGGCTGCGGGCGAAACCACTTCCCAGTCTACGGGCGGAAAGCAGAAGGTCAAGAAGAAGACAAGTACCACAACGACAACGACAACAACCACACCTGCCCCACAGCCCGAAACAGAGCCACCCACTCAGGTGACGCAAGAGGAGCCTGCGCCAACGGAAAGCACGACCACAACCACCCAGGCACCACCCCCGACCACCCCGAAAAAGAAGAAGCGAAAGCCAACACGAACCCCTGGAACAGGATCGTCCACTGGCCAAGCCAAGCCATCGAAGCCAAAGCGAAAGCCAACGTCGAAGCCAAAGCCTCTGATCCAGGAAGTGAGTGAATCTGCATCCGCTGCATCGGCCCCAAGGCCGCAGATTGTGAATACTCAGAAGCCGCCCAGACCACAAAGACCTCACAAGAAGCCCAAGCCAATAGCCACTACAGCAAGCACTACGACAACAACAACGCCAGTGCCAGAAGCGACTGCAACAACTACCACGCCTGAACCGGTGACCACCCCGCCAGAGGCACCAGTCACAGAGCCACCAGCAGAGTCCAGTCCAGTCACAACCACTCCGGAACCAGAGCCCCAAACAACAGTTCCCACAACAACGACAACGACAACAACAGAGGCTCCTATAACAACAACCACAGAGGCTCCCACAACCACAACCCCTGCTCCCACTACAACAACCACTGCTCCCACAACAACAACCACTGCTCCCACTACAACAACCACTGATCCCACTACTACAACTACTGCTCCCACTACAACAACCACTGCTCCTCTTAAAACTACAGCCATACCACCTGCACTACACCATCAGAAATTACACAACAGGCCCAACAGCCGTCCAGCAACCCATCATAACAACCGAATCCATGCAAAGCCCGTACACAGCACCACAACTGAATCGAGTAAGGTGGCAGGGGAACTACAAACCGAGAGCTACGGATTGGTTAATGTGATTCCAGCCTCGAGCACCACCCACAAACCACTTTATCCGCTGCCCAGCTACAATGCTGACTCCTCTCAAGACATCACTGCCTCGATAGCTGATCCTCCGCCGCACCACTCGCCTCTGAAAAAGACCCCGTTGCCGTCGCTGGCTCAGCTGCAGCAGCAGTTGCACCTCAGCTCCCCGTCGCCTGCCCCACAGCTTTCCCCCGCTCAGATTCTCTCCATGGACCAAATTGTGCAGTCGCTTACCCAGGACCTCTCGGCCACAGACAAGGCGGATGAGGATTCCGCTGCGGGTCCCGTTAGATACGACAGTGCGGAGAGCGCACTGGAGATGGAAGCACTGGCCAACAAGAAAAAAGTAGCCGTCATTGGCAGCATCACTGCAGCATCAACAACGACCACTACCACTGCCAAGCCCACCACAATTTTGACAAGCAATAAGCCACACACATCCCACTACGGCGGAAGCACTCTGGCAACAATGCTTTCAGAGGAGGAGGGGGATGTCACTGACTCCACAGAATCTTCCATGGCCCACCAGCAGCCAGCAGACACCACGCTCAGCAGCCTCGAGGACGATGAGGAGGAGCAAACACCCGTGGTAGTCATCACCGCTAGACCACAATACTTTACGGTAACAAGGAGGCCAGAACCACTTAAGCCGATCCCGACCGATCACAACCAGGAGGAGCCGGAGACAACCGAGCTGCCGGGAGAGACACAGTTTTTAGTCACTACTCCAATGTCACCACTGGAAGAACTGGAAGCCACAACCGATAAGCCAGTGGTTGAGTCCGATCACGAGGTCAAGTTGGAGCCACTCGACGAAATTGTACCAGAGGCTAATGAACCATACCCCACAAGCGGCTACAACCCACCATTGGAAATTGCGGAGGAGGCGGATGCAGCGGTTGCCACCACAGAACAGACACTACGTCTTCCTGTTTCAGAGAGCAGCACAGTTGCCGACATTGACAGTACCGAAGTAACACCCATGATTGCCGACCTTGTCCAGCAGCTTAACTTGGAGATGCTTAAGCCCACGGACCAAATATCCATGGCCAACTTCCAAACACAGGCGGCCACTGTGGCCTCCACTTTAGTGGATGGCAGTAACACGCTCCTCTCTGATGTCCCCATAAACTCAAACGAGACCAAGGACGAGCTGGAGTTTCTCATGTCCGATGTTATCCAGCAGATCACCCAAGGCGATCAGACCAAGCCACCGCCGAAGGCTCAACCGATAGACGATTCGCACCGCCTGACCAATTTCGCCCAACTGAATACCTCGTTCCTACTCCACCCAAGACCAGACAAAACGGAGGTGTCTGAGGAACCAGATGAGCCCCAAGAGCCATACAAGCTTGAGCCGCAGCTCGAGACAAAGCCGCCAACGCATAGTACGACTACCGCAGCGCCCTTCAAGCCGGAATTCCAGCAACCGGACGCTTTCCCAACGAGTCCCATCCACGTAGAGACGAGCACGCACCGGATTCCCATTCTATCGCTGTCCCAGATTTATGCGCAGCAACAGCAAGACCAGGATGAGGAGCAGGAGGTTTTTACCAACGAACGACTCGAAGCGCAGCCAACTCAAGAGCCTAGCCGGCAGGAAAACATCCCTGTCCTAGAGACATCCACAGCAACCCCCTCAGTGGACACCACCGAGGCTGACACTGTTGAGGTGGCCACCACCACAGAGCGTGAGTCAGTGGAAGAGCCCAACCAGGAGACCACATCCAGTGAGGAGAGTTCCAGCAGCAAGGAGTCAACGACCCAGTACAATGGCATCCCCGAAAGCAACACGCACCGCGAAAGTGAAGAGGAAATGCCCGAGCTGTTGACAAATGGCTACAACGAGCAGCAGCAGACGGAGACCAGTGCAATCACAGAAAAGGAGACGGAGCCGGAGCCCGTGCTCACCACGGAAAAGTCTGCGCCGGAAGAGCCAGAGACGACCGCCCAGCCTTCTGTGGGGGAAGAGACAACATCGGCGACTAATGTGTACCAAGACGCACAGACAGAAGAGCAAACATCAACGACGGAGAAGCATGAGCAAACAGAACAGCTGCCACAGTTTTCCCAAATCGCCGTTGTAGAGGACAGTGCCACCAATGCCGCCCATCTTCTGCCCCAATATCAGTCTCCTGCCAGCGGAGAGCGGGACGAGACTGAAGTGCCGGTCACGGAAATACCTGGTGATATGTCCCTGGCTTCCTCCGACTCGGACATGTCGCTGAGTTCCGAACAGGTGACCGAAAAACTCGAACTGAGCACGGTAAAGACGCAGGAGTTGGACGACGAGTCATTGGAGGAAATTTCCGACGAGCTGACAGCCACAATTTCGGAAGAACAAGACGCCGAGGATGCGACGGCTGTGACCAGTGCCCAGAAAATACAACCGGACGATGAGGATCCCTACGTGAAGCTGGGCGAGACAACTGCGAGTGTGGTGCGTCCGCTGAACTCAAACTCCGAAGAGGCTGGTGAGGACAAGAGCGCTACTGAACCTGATGAGGATAACTACAAGGTGACATTGCCTTTGGCTAGCTATGGAAATCCACCTGTGGATCAGGCGGATGAGGAAGACGAGGAGGATCAAGTGGTTTACCAGATGCCTATCTCCCTGCCCAGCAGTACCACCACAAGGACAACAACTACTAAAAAGTCCACAACGGAAACTCCAACTACGACAACTCCGTCAAGCACTACAAGTGCTCCTGCAACTACAACAAAGCGCCTGAACACCTTGAAGCCCGTTTCCTACTACGTTCAGCCCTCTCTGCTGGGTGGCTACAACCAACTAGACTTCCAGCCGCCAAAGGTGCTGCCCTACAATGCCAACAAGGCGGACCCAGCCCAACACCAACCTCAAGCTCCGTCCCACAGCCAGTTTCAGTCCACGTTGAACCAGCAGCGACCGACGCAGCGGCCCCCCTTGCTTGCCAATCTTATGGCCAGCTCCACGCAATCGACCCGGCCTCCCGTTAAACTGGATCCTAGTCCAGAGTCCTCACAGGGGCTGGAGGCCTCCACCGCACACATGGACGAGGATCTGCAGTCCTTCGCTCGGCTCTGCAACGAGCTAGCCTTCAGCTACTGGCGCGCCATTACCTCGGAGAAGATCAGCTCCGCCAGGAGTTTGGTCATCTCCCCGTTCGCCCTTACTTCCATGCTGTCAATGGTATTCCTTGGGGCGCGCGGAAGCACGTCCGGGGAGATGAACGAGATCCTGAAGTTGGACGACATGGTCACCTTCAATCCGCATCTGATCTTCAAGAACATAACCAACTCAGTGGAACAGGCCACAGACAGCGACATCGCGACCGCTGCCTTCGTGCGCGAGATCTTCAGTGACCGGGCGAACGGAAAGATACTGCCCTTCTTCAAGGAGAAGACCCAGCAGCTGTACGCCGGCCATGTGGAGGAGGTGAACTTCCACGTGGTCAACGACATCGTGCGACGCCGCACGAACCTTCTGGTTAAGCGCCACACGATGGGAAAGGTTCTGGAGTACCTGCGCACCAACAGCGTGTGGGTGAACGGGCCCCTGGCCACCATCTCGGCTAATCTCTTCCAGACGGACTGCTCGCACGGCTCCACCGCGGAGCGCGATGGGGAGATGTTCTTCCAAGTGGCTCCCACCGTGCGTCAGCGCCGGCTGGTGCCCATCCCGGCCGTGCTCTACCGCTCCGGCTTCACGGCGGGCTATGAGCCGGGGCTGGACGCCACCGTGGTGGCCTTCGGGCGGGTGCAGGACACGGTGAGCACGGTCTACGTGATGCCCGGCCACCAGAGCTCCATTTCGCCGATGGACAACCTGGACCGCCTGGAGCGGAGCTTGGCAGAGACGGCCTTCGGAGAGTCGCGGGCCTGGAGCCGGCTGCTAACCTCGCTGATGGACCGGCCCGGCATGGAGGTGCAGCTGCCGCGCTTCTCGCACCGCTCCTTCGTCAACGCCTCGCTGGGCCTGCAGAAGATGGGGCTGCGCGGGCTCTTCAAGTCGGACTTCGCCGATCTGCGGGGTCTGACGGGCGCCGGGAACCGCGACATCTTCCTGTCCGACATGATCCAGATCAACACGTTCAGCACCTGCGGCGAGGAGAAGATCTCCGAGCACCACCACGTGGAAATGTACCCGGCGCCCCCGCTGCGCAAGCGCAACAAGGACGTGGACGCCACCGAGGACGACGCCTTCGACTCGTCGGAGGCCGTCGTGGACTTTGGCTCGCTGGTGCAGGAGTCGGCCCTCGGGCGGGGCTTCTACGACGACCTGCTGGACCCCAAGTACCTCGAACTGCCCCTGCCCCTGCGTCCGCGGCAGGCTCGTGTCCCGGACGCCCCACGGCTGCGCTTCGACAAGCCCTTCCTGTACTTCGTGCGCCACAACCCCACGGGCATGATCCTGTTCATGGGGCGGTTCAACCCGCGCCTGCTGCCGTGAACCGCAGGTCGTTTTCTTGTTAAACCTTGGAATGTGACTTAGTGAATTTATACCGTACTCGTAATGCTAACTGTATCCTTAATGAAAGCTGCTTGCTGGGCCTTAATCCCGCGTCCCTCGTCCGCATTGGTCCGATACGAGATTGATGCTCAGCAAACGATTGCATTTGCCAGTGGCAGCTGCAATTATTCTCTGTGCGCGCAAAAACAAAATCAAATATCTTAAATGCTTAAATGCAGTTTGCGCAAATTTATTTTCAATTTTTCGGGCTTGCATTTAATTTGCCGCATACCACCCGAATGCGGCATGGTATATGAAAATGCATTTTTTACTTCGTCGTTGCTCGCTGAAAAATCGCCGGCTTCGCAAACAAATGTTGAATAAATACGTAGGCGGCGAATGCGAATGCAATCGAAAATTAAATGCAAATGCAATCATGGGATGCGTCAATGTTTTGGCAACTGAACAAATGTAATTTAGTAAAATAAACTTTACGAAAACGCAAACTAAAAGTTATGTATGCTGTAATGTAAGCTTAAACAAAAACTCTAAATAAATAAATATAAATATTATACAAACTACAAAAACAAGCCACCCTTAAATTTGATTTTCCCAAAAGCAGGAAAAGGCAATGTTTCTGAATTCACAAGTGCCTTACAAGCATATTCCAGGGAGAAAGGATGGGCGTTACCTGAGAAAGGCACGACACAACAAAACAAATAGCATATTATAATCGAGTGTCTCGACAGAAAAAGGTCCAATACTTACTTTGTAAAAAGCAATGCATACTTATTTCAGATGAGAACACAAAACGCAATGAAGAGTAATGCCGGATTGCATTGTCACATTTTTAACGTGGCATTGACGCATATTTGTCAATGTACACCGACATGTGATTGGCAAAAACTGGGCGGTTTGCTTTAAATTTAAACTTTGATAAATGTGTAGCCATTTAGTCTTGCGGTTGAGTTGCAAAGCTAAAAATGCCAAAAGGTTGCTCCTCTTTTTCTTTTCACTTTTTTTGATGACCACATTTTTCGCTGTGAAATAATATACATTCGGCAGATTGTTCAAATATGTACACTTGGGCCGTTTTCTCGTTCGCACTGTAAAAACATCAATTAATTCGAGGCTAATCTGACATTAAAAGTGGCCTTCCAATAGTTAGGTATTTTGTAGCTATCTAAAACAAGCCCCTACATGAATAGTCCTTTTAAAATTGTAAATTACATGTATATCTCGAGTTTGTTGAAAACAACGAAGTTGTATCGATTTTACTTTTATGTCCCTTTAATTTTTTGAATCTTTCCCTTGAAAGCTATGTTAAATCAAACTTTCGAGAATGTAAAAAATAGTTATATCTCGGTGTAGATAGATGTATATATTATCTATGCATCTATATTTATTATAAACTGAGCCCGAATTTCTGGAATTATAAAAAATAACTGCATCTCGGAGTATATGCGTATATGTTTAAACATATTTAAGTTTTTTTTAACTTAATTTCTGATTGTTCTTATGACAGCTATGTTATATAGTCGATCTGGCTCGTTTCGACTTATATACATCTTAAAATAAACAGAATATTTTTGAAAAATTTCCACTAGTAAATCGGGCAAAGGGCCAGACGGACATGGCTAGATCGACACTTCTGGTGGTGCTGATCAAAAGCTTCTGACCAAAATGATAATACCTATGGGTATAAATAGTAGTAAGTCATGAAATTATTAAAAATAAGTGTTCTAAAAAATTTCGTAGTAAATAGACCATGGATAAGGAACGTGTTGTAGCGTAAGCAGCGAATATAAATTTTCACATATCGCCCCGATACTCAATACGGATTATTTCCTTTATTTAATTTTGTAAACTAGTGACTTAAAGTCATTATGTGTGTAATCCATATTTTTGGACCTTAAATAAAATACGCTCAACCTTGTGGAGCGCTCTGCCTGGTAGCTAACCCTGCAGTAGCCACTGACAACGCAATTGTAGATGAATACAACATCTCTTTATTATGACACTAATTTGTCGAGCCGCAGCGCTTTATGCACCAAAAAGCACTAAAGTGCAACTTCTGCTCACAACAAATTTCGTAATTCAACGGGCCTTTGTCGCCGTAGCTGTTGTTGCCATTGTTAATGCGGCTCCGAAACATTTCCGCACGTGTTGCTTTCAAGGGGGAGAAGCAGCTAACGCGGAAGAGACAAATCTGTCGTTGTTATTATTATGATTGTATATTGTGTAATAAGAAAAGTGTTTCCACTCCACGCGGCGATCCGCCACAGCATGCAGTGTCCTTTGTCCAGGACTCGCCGGGCAATGCTGTGACAACTGTCCGCAGCTGTTGCCCCATCCAGCTTATTGTAATTGTTGTTCAACGAACTTTTCCACTTCCCTGATCCTGGTTCTCCAACTCCGGTGCTGGACTCGGAGTCGTAGTCGGATCTGGACTTTGTTGCCGGATACTTGGATACTGTGCTGCTTTTGTTTTTCTCGTCGCATTGAGAGAGTTGAATTTTGCTTTCTTTGCAGAAGCACCTGCCGAAATTACGCAAGTGTCACTCAAGGGGGAAACAGCAGCGACGGGACAATGACAGGTTTCCGTGAGAACCCTTTCAGCTACCGTAAATATTGCTTTGTTGTCGTTCTCCTTCTTTTTTTCTGACGCCATGCTTGACCCTATTACATTTGCATTCTACTCATTTGCTTCCTTTCCTTTTGCCTCTTCTTACCTTTTCCAGGCACTTTAATGTCACTCCCAAGAGTATTCAAATTACACGTAAGGCATTATCAGAAAAGGAGCCTCTCTATAAAAATGCTCTTAAATAATTTCTTAAAACTTTTGATATGAAAATTATGATTTTATGTTCGTTAAATTTTATTTTTTATTGGGTATACATATTTTAATCACTTTTACTTTTAAACGAATGCACAGATGTCTAAACACAAAAGCTATTTTTTATGCTAAGCTTTTCAAACTATTAAATAAAAAATAAAAATAAATTAATATTATATATGTAAATAAACTTTAACATTATTTAAAAGGCAAATTTAATTTGTATGATAATTTTAAGATCATTTCGAACCATCCTAGACAGCGATATGAAATAGTCGTTCGATTTAATAAAAAACAAGAATTTAAGCAAACTTTAGCAAGCCGAAGTTTATATACCAGCCGCAAGGGAATTACAATGAAGTAAAGTCGATTTTCCGATTAATTTTTTTTATCGTGCCTATATAATAGAACTTCTGAAATATAAGATTATAGATATACATATATCAAGAAACAATGAAGCTATAATTTTATTTCTCATTTTTCCTAGAAGTTTTTTTTCCCGATTGTTGTTATGGGAGCTAAGTAATATATAAACAAACTAGTCTCTCAGTTTTAAAGATATCGAAGTGAACGGCCGGAATCGGCCGACTATATCCTATAGCTGCCATACAACTGATTGATCGGAAATGCCATAACTTTAATGTTTGGAAAGAGAGGAAGTTGGGATTTTCTATGCGTTTTTTTTTGGCCAATCAATCCGACCTATTAAATTTCATAAGGATCGGCCGACTATATGCTATAGCTGCCATATAACTAAACGATTGAAAATGCCATAACTTTGGTGTTTATACCCGTTACTCGTGGAGTAAAAGGGTATATTGTATTCGTGCAAAAGTATGTAACAGGTAGAAGGAAGCGTTTCCGACCCTATAATGTATATATATTCTTGTTCAGGATCACTAGCCGAGTCGATCTAGCCATGTCCATCTGTCCGTCTGTCTGTCCGTATGAACGCTGAGATCTCGGAAACTATAAAAGCTAAAAGATTGGCATTTTGCATGTAGATTTTAGGAGTTCCTACGCAGCGCAAGTTTGTTTCAAAATGGTGCCACGCCCCCTTTGACGCCCACAAGCCACAAGCTGTGGCCACAGTTTTGATGCTATTATGAAAATTTTAATTGATATGTATTTGTTTCGTCAATACCTATCGTTTGGCCTAATAAAAGTTTGCCACGCCCACTCTAACGCCCGAAAACCCATTAAACGCTTAAAGATAAGGGGTAGATGGCGCAATGCAATAGCGCCATCTAACGGATGACTTTGGAACAGCTGGCCAAGGTGCTCAGCAGAGTCAACGTTAATTCTCGATAAGGATTTCTATTAAAGGAAATTGCGATGGTTTTCATTTGTCAATAACGAACTATATCCCAAGAACTATGCAAATCAAATCAAATTAGCCAAATTGGAGGTCTGAGTCAAACAATGGCGTATGTGTGTATGTATGTAAGCATATACATATGTATTTATTTACATTGTACACAGTTGAAATTGCCCGAAATTCCCCAAATTTTATTATACCCTTGCAGAGGTTATTATAATTTCAGTCAAAAGTTTGCAACGCATTGAAGGAGACATTTCCGACCCTATAAAATATATATATTCTTGATCAGCATCACCAGGAGAGTCGATCTAGCCATGTCCGTCCGTTTCTACGCAAACTTGTCCCTCAGTTTTAAAGCTATCTGCTTGAAACTTTCCCAAAAGTTGTCTTTCTATTGCAGGTAGTATATAAGTCGGAACGAGCCGGATCGGGCCACTATATCATATAGCTGCCATATAACTGAACGATTAGAAATGCCATAACTTTGGTGTTTGTTAAGTTAGGAAGGGATTTTCTATGGGTTTTATTTTTGGGCAATCAATCCGACCTACCAAACTTCATAAGGATCGGCCAACTATATCCTATAGCTGCTATATAACTGAACGATTGGAAATGCCATAACTTTGGTGCTTTTAAAGTTAGGAAGTTGGGATTTTTTATGAGTATTAAGAATGCATCATATGAATAATTTTGGAGAATATAATTTACAGAGTATTCTGCAAGGGTATATCAACTTCGGCTCTGCCCGAAGTTAGCTTTCCTTTCTTCTTTTGGTTTGAAAGACCCCGTTGCAAATCAACGGCCTCCACGTGGTGTTCCCTGGGTACCGATTTTAACATAAAAATCGGGAGCTAATTCGAGCGGCGAATAACATACAAGAAGGCATATTTATATTAAGTTGTTTAGCTGAGTAACGGGTATCTAATAGTCGAGGCACTCGACTATAGTGTTCTCTCTTGTTTTAAAGTTCGGAAGTTGGGATTTTTTATGAGTATTAAGAATGCATCATATGAATAATTTTGGAGAAGGAGCAAGGGCACCGCCCGAAGTTAGCTTTTCTTTCTTGTTTTATAAATTTTCGTTAAACATAATTTTAAGTGCCTCCCAAGTGGAAAAAATGTAAAGTTCGCAAATGTTGCTAAAAAAAACTTAAGTTATATATATAAATCTTATTTGTTTACTTCATTTAATCAGGCTTTTTTAACCCCTCTTAGCACTTTTTAATGAATAAAGCTGTGGAATCCGCTGCTAGAATGGCAACCGAATCCGTATTGAGCTTTATCCAGTTCACTGTCATTTAATGCGATTCGATACCGACTGCTTCTCTGCCTTATAGCCTGACTCTGCTAATTGGTCTCTCGCAGCGATCAGTTTTGTAGTGGGTCTGAAAACGAGCAGATTGCCGTAAC